GGCCAGGTGAGGCAGTGATCCCAGTGCTGACAGGGCAGTCAGACAGCTCCCTGAGCTCCCTGGCTAGTAAACCTAGCTGAATTGGTGAGCCCCAGGCCCCAGTGAGAGAGTGTTGTCTAAAAAACCAAGGTAGGCAGCCCAAAGGAATGACATCCAAGGTTGATCTCTGGCCTGCATGGGTACCAGTACGTACACTCCCCCCCACCCCCAGCCCCACCCCCACAAAACAGCGTTCAGATGATGAGTCTTCGGGTGACGGGCAGGATGACATTATAGCACGTTACTGACCATCTACTCATCTCCGTGACATTCTCATGAGCTAAGAATAATAAGTGACAGCAGCTACAGTTTTATGGAGGACTCTCCCGAGTACGTTGGATCTATTCACCTCTGTAATCTTCCTAGCAACCATTAAGAAAGGCTCTGTCGCTGTCTTTTATTTGGAACGGGAGAACTAAGCACAGAGATCAAGTGGGTGTTTGAAGGATTCAGGGTTGGAATGTGCAGGTCACCGGCTGGGCTCTTTCCATTCTGCCCGGGGCTTTTTATGTTCTTTTCCTTTTTACGAAACCTGGAGGAACAGAGTAGGGGGAGATGGGTCTCAGGGTGCCCTAGATCCGCTAAAGTCTGACAAAGCTATGAAGCATAGAGACTGATCCCTAAGCCTCATTGTCTTGTATTGTATTCGTATCTAACTCCTCGGTCTAGAAACCTGCAGACCTTGGGGTCACGAACCCTGGGGTTACAGTATCCACACATTTGCCCAGCGTCTGTAGGATCACTTAGGTCCAGGCTCAGATAGAGTTCTCCTGGTTCTTCCACCCCTCTGACATCTGCTCCCACCCCAAGTCACCACAAAGGCCTGCTTAAGGCAGTCAGATCCAGTTCCAGCTGAACTTCTTATTAGGCAGGTAGCTGCAGCAGCCGCGAGAGAAAACAGCCACAGCCTAAGCTGCGGCAGGCGAACCAGTCCAACCAGAAAGAGGCCACAGCCCCTCCTCACTCTGAAGAGGAGTAGCTTGAGGGAGGCTTTTCAAACAGAAGGCCCAGAGAACCAGGTGAGCCTACTTAGGGAGGATCAAGGATGGGCATGAGCGGGCAGAAACCAACCCCTGGGAACCCCCCTCAAGCTAGCATTACACCCCAGTCTGGCCAACACAAAGAAGATGCCTGATCACAAATATCCACAGAAGAAGTCTCCTGTCTGCCTGACCAGACAGCACTGGTCACATGATACTCTTTACTCTTTCAGAAGTGTGGGCCTGATGGTTGGTCCCTGGGGAATGGAAAGGAGCTGAGTAGGGTTCCTACTCACGTGGATAGCAGCACACCCTGGAGGGGCCTTTCAAGTCTTCACCTCCTTCTCCGGTTAATGTCTTCGGTACCTTTTAAAAGTGCCTTTCTCCTATTGCTAGGCTTAAGCCATAGTCAGGCCCGTGAAGACTTCTGCTAACTGGGCCTTACGCTGACTATCTCACAGGTGCCTGACCTTGCACTACGACCCATAACAACTCAGAGGCATATGACTAGGCCTCACCCTCAAATTACTTATAGTTTAAAGACAGCACCAAACAGAGGAATGTTCTCTGTCCTAAAATCTTCCTTCTGCTACAACCAGACTGCCCGGAGTCCCGTGGACTCCCACGCACTTCTCACCTCTGTTCTCTGTGCTCTCCTCGTTCCATCTGCTCCCTTCCACTGCGGGAACCCACCCACAGGCAACCCACACGGCAGCGCCCAGCTTCAGCCATCCCTGTCTGCTGGAATCCACAGGGACGGGTCTCCCTTCCAAACCCCATTAGCAACATCACCTCCCATTGGCTGCCTCAGGCACATATAAGACTCCGAGACCTTTACTGCGAGCAGTGGTGCAGCTATAGTCAATCCTTTCCGTCTAAAGGGCGCTTCACCAAACACTTGCAGATAGTTATCTTGGTTTGGCACTAACTCTTTATTGCTCGTGTCTCGTTTCAACTAGATGAGAGACTTCTGTGGGCAGGAAAGGGTGCATTTAATGTCCCTAGAATACCTAGCATGGTCTTTCACTGGAATACTCCATTACATTAAACAGATAAGATAGTCTTATCAGGAAACTGCAGGAACGTTATTAAGGTTCTGTCTGCCCCACTCCCCCACCAGCCCTCGTCTAGCAGGTCAGCTGCATGGAGAAGAGAGTGAGTGAGTATCTGTGGTACTAGCTTCAGGGTTGACAGGTGGCAAGGACATAAGGGCCTCAGTCTCCCTGGCTGGCTCTTTCATGGAATGTTTGGGCTCTTACGTAGAATAGACAGTCAGTTATAAAGAAGCAGCCAAAGGTGACTTCGGTATAAGCCAAGACTCTGAACTCTCGCCTTGGCAGTAATTAGCCAATGGCCTCCTTTTCTCCATTCATAAGTAAAACAAAACAAATGGGGGAAGATGTCTAGATCAACCTCTGACATGGCACGCCCAAGCCTACCCATCTTCTTAATGGGTAAATTATGAATCTGACCTGGCAGCCCCCATTTTCCTGGCTTTTTGATTCGTCTCCTGGCTGCCCCTTCCTTGGGAAATTTTCCAAATCACGGGAGAAAGCCTCTCTGGAACATCCGGCTCTTTCCCTTCCATTGTAGCTAATGTTGGAAAACCTGGCCAAGATGGGGAGGACCTCAGAGCCTCTGTAAGCTTTAAATAAGAAAGCACTTAAGAAACCGGGGGGGGGGGCCGATTTGAAGGGCTGGAGTGAAGAATGATGTGTTTCTTTGTCTTCCATGGACTTCGGAATCCTAGGAGTCAGTGGACCCTGTAGAAAGGGGTGCCTGGCCACCTTCTGATGGCGGAGAGCAAACCTCAGGAATAGGTTTTAGGCTGATAATACCAAAGCTGCGATGGGGGTGTGTAGAAGCAGACCACGCAACTCTTCACCACTGCCCGTCACAGTGAGCTCCAGAGGGTCTCCAGGGAAGTCCCTGCACTCTCTCTAGCATTCTACCAGCTGGAAGAAGATGGCAGAGAGACAAGGAAGGTTAGTGGTTGGATGTGTGGGGTGAGGGATGGTTCTCTTTCAAGGAACGTACAGCCTCTGCAGGGTCATTTGGTATTTCAGAAACAGATGTTCCTTCCCTCACTCTTTCTATGGAAGAGGGGGAGGGCCATATGTCTCCCAGGGGAGGCTGACTCCTCATGCAGTAGGCAGGAGTCCTGAGTGAGGTCTTCCGAAGGGATGGGAACCAGTAAAAACCCTCAAAGGGAGAAGTCCGGGTCACTCCTAGGACTTGTACCCATGACTCCAGAGTGCAAACTACTGCTCTTCAGGCAAAATCTAGGCACATACCACCTCCCCACCCCCATAGCCCTTGACTCACTGCAGATAGTTCAACAGCTCCTAGCCTCAGAACCTTGTCAAGGATAATCAGGACAAGTTTCCATAGTAGTAACCTGTTGCCCTTTGTCCCCAAGCCTGCAAACTCTCTCATATCCCATATGGCTCCGCAGCCCCTCCCTGCTCACTCCCATGACTTCTCCAACACCTGTCTCATCTCCAAGGGCTCTAGAGAGGCAGGCAGCCCTCTCTCAGGCAACGTTCAGTATCTGTCCCCTTCTAATCTCTCCACAATGGATCTTATTCAAACAGTGGCTCAACCCTGGCTCCTGGATAGCTTAGGGGCTGGCCTTAGCGTTCCAGAGAAATGTGGTCAAGTTTTGTTCTCTGGCTCTAAGTGACTTGAGGAGAGCAAAGCACATAGGGAGACCCTACGAGAGAGGCCGCCAGCACTCAGCCAGCATCACGTACATGACAAATACTTTACAAGCATTCATTCATTTAATCTGTGTAACACCTCAGGAAGGTCTCACTAGTAGACCTATTCAACAGACAGAGACACTAAAGCTCAGAAGTTTACATCATAGTCATGGCCGTGCCGTCCCAAAGGCAGGTCTCCAGGTTTGCCTGACAATATCTGCCTCAACTACAAGCCTCTGCTTCTCCAGACTGCAACTACCCTCACCTTCTTCTCTCTTGGCAAGGAGTGTATGTTGGGGGAGAAGTGTGAAGGAGGAAGAAGAAAGCCTTAAGAGAAAGCAGCAGGGAGGGCTGGAGCCCTCCCTGAAGGCAGCAGGGCCTTCTAGGAGAGGATTCTTACTGGATGACCAGACGGCCAGCAGGTTGTTTCTGTCAGGAGCCATGAGAAGGCTACTCCAGAGCTGAGCAAGGCTGGTACCTGGAGGCAGATATGGGTGGAAACCCCTCAAGTCACACTTCCTGGAAGAGAGGACCTTCCCTTGCCCATGAAGGAGAGACCACTGAGTCATTCTCAAAGTGACCCTCAATGGCCTTGCCAGGGTACCACCAGGCCTTTGTCCCTATCTAATGTAGGTCCTGTCTACTTGCTGACCCCCTACTCTGCAGGAACATTTTCCATCTTCCCATTCTCCTTCAAACAGTTGCTGCCCATCCCCATGCCCCTTCTTGCACTATGGTATCCCTGTCCTCCTCCAGGTGTCCCATCTTGTGGCTTTACCTTCACTACTGCCTTGGAAACTAGTTTTCTTTGACCAATGTCCTCTGTCCATTCCTACCCTGGCTCCACACCGACTCACCTTAAAACTAAGGGTACCTCAGTGACTTGTTAACTGGTCCTCACTTCAATCCCGTTCTCCTCCCTTCATCTGGAGCTGTGGGTATATCACTTTACCGGCTATGAATCTCGCTGCCCCAGCTCAGGGCACCCTGGCCTACACCCGCCTGTTTTTCTCATCTTGGGTGGGAAGGCTCCCCTGCCGGAAGGCAGAACTCCCATCTCTAGACCCTGACTGTAGGCAGCATACACCCCTCACCTGTAGGAACTCAGGCTCAGGGCCCCAATCTGGAGACCTCTCACTCCTAGGTGTGTGTTCTCCCTACCCCTGGCCTCCCACGCCACAGCCTCTACCTTGAGGGGCGCGCGATCCCTTCCGGCCTGGAGATGAAGAAGCAAGCACCGGGAGGGGAGAATAGGGCGCCCCGGGCCACCGCCCCTTACCGATGGTAGAGATATGCGAGGAGTGGAACTCGTTGTCGGTGAAGCGGCACAGCAGGCAGGTCTTGCCCACCCCGGAGTCCCCGATCAGCAGTAGCCGAAATAGCACATCGTACTGTTTCGCCATGGCAGGGACTCAAGGGGGCCCGAGGGCTGCGGGTGGCTGCGGGCTCAGCCCCGCTCAGCCTCTGCCATCGCGGCTGGAGCCCGCCCCAGGACGCCGCGGTGGCAAGAAGGAAGCGGCCCGGCCCCCGCGCTGGCCTCGCCCGCTCGCTCGCTGGCTCGCTGGCGCGGGGAAGCGCGGCTGCGGCGGGAGCGCGGCGCGGGGAAGCTCGCGCTGGCGGGAGGTGGGAGGGGACAGCTGCGGCTGCCGCCCCTGCCCGGCCCTCCGCCCGTCCCCTGCGCCGCTGCTGCAGCGAGGGGGGGGGGTGGGAGGAGCAGCGGGGACCCCGCGGCCGTCCGGGGCGGGGTCCCAGGTCTGGTCTCAGGCCCTGGGGTGCCCGGACCCGGGCAGGGTTGGAAAGGGATCCATCTGCATCTTCCCACCGACGATGTGAGAGGCAGAGTTGGAAGGAGAGCCCATCCAGTCCACATGCCCCAACCTTGACTTCCTAGTCCCGTTGCTTCTCCTCGAATCCCACCCCAAGCCTGATCTTAATCACTCCGCCCTACCTGGGTTACTCCGACAGCGGCCTGGCCCAGCTTATGAGTGGCAGGTCTCACCTAGGCTCACCCCTAGTTGGAAGGCCTTCATCAGGGTCTAGCTTGGACCGCCCTTCCCTTCACCAACACTCCCGGTGTGTTGCCGAAATAACTGCCATTGCCATTTGGCCTCCCCACAAGAGTGACTTATGTCACGCCCTCTCACCTCTTAAACCGGGAAAAACACCCGCGGACCCATTCATTGTTCAATTCATCAGAGTAGACAGATAAACTATCATTTAAAAAGAAATCCAAGTGTACAATTATTTGGATGAGGTTCCTGTTAAGTTTTCGTTGGGTCTAAATTGCTAGGGTGGGTTCTCGGATTACTAAATATTTCTGTACACAAATGGTACCCGAGAATGAACTGTTCTCTCTAGAGACCCAGTTTACTACTGCCAAATGTGTTAGCACCAAAGAGAAAAAATCAATCCTCTCTGGGGTTCAGAAAATAGCACGTTCTTAAGAACTAGTATTAGAGGAGAGCAAGTCTAGTCTATTGGGTCTTTTAAAAAAACGACTCTGTGTGTGTGTGTGTGTGCGTGTGTGTGCGTGTGTGTGTGTGTGTTCGGGCTAAATATTAGATGGAAAATGGATTTGTCAGTAGGAGAAATGGTGAGCCTACTTACTATCTTGAACTATATTTCAAGCAACGTTTCTAAATTTATATTAAAGAGGAAAAACTCCTAAACGTGATCGCTACATTGATCTTAAGGAACAGATCCTAGACTGACCATTAAGATTCCCAGGTGTGGGACGGGAGCGCCGCCGGCTCAGAGGTTGGGAACGAGGGCTGCTCTTCCAGAGGTTCAGTTCTCAGTGCAGCACCCACGCAGCAGCTTAACCGGAGTTCTAGGGGTTCTGATGCCCGCTTCTAGTCTCTGCAGGCGCCAGGCATGAATCCGATGCACAGATCTGCATGTATAAATGTGATCATTTAAAAAAAAATTCACAGGTGCATTTCTCTGCATTTGTTTTTTGTTGGGCTTCAAAGGCACGATGGGGGCTCTTGGGTAAGACACATGAGTTCTCCCAGGTGCCCTGCTCAACAGCTGTGAAATTTTGCCTCTCACTTTCCTCATCAAATTAAGGGTATTTAGGGTAACAATCTTCTTATAGGATTGTAAAAATAAGGTGGTATGTAGAAAGTACTTTGTTTAGCATGGTACTTGACTTAATAAATCCTGAGTTATAGAACACACCATTGATTTTTTTTTCTGCTTCCTTGGGCTTTAAAAATAGCCCTCAGATGATGACTAGGGATAGTTTTGCTGAACTGAGGCCTAATTTGCTGTGATCCCCACCCCCAACACCCTCATCAGTGCAAAGAGCACAGAGCATATGTTGCTGGCAGCCCAGATGTTAGGTACCTTAGCCACTGTCCCATTGAACCACTGTAAATACTCTCCCTGGTCTCTCCTTTTAGGATGATAGTGATTATCTGTGGCTCTGTCAGAGAAAGCAGGGGAGACAAGCAAGATGAGCAGATCTCTCAACCCAAAGGGGAGCTTTACTTCTAAAGAAATTGCCCTTTCAAGGTAAGACAGGAAAGTGAAGTTGGTTTTTTTTTTAAACGGGGTGGGGAATACTAAAAAATTAAGTTTATTTCATCATACAGGACTGATTTCAAATTCAGTAGCTTCCACTGTTTGTTTGTTTAAATGCATCTGGGTGGTAGGTGATACTGAAGAGACTTGACTCAGTGATTAAGAGGACTTGCTGTCTGCTCTGGCAGAGGTCTGGAATTAGGTTCTCAGGACCCACACTGGACAGCTCACAACTGCCTATAACTTCAGCTCCAGCAGATCTGAAGCTCTTCTCTGTCCTTTGCAGGTATGCGCATGTGCACGTGTGCACAAACACACACACACACACACACACACACACACACACACACACACACACAGAGAAAGAGAAGAAGGAAAAGGAGGGAGAAGATGGAGGAGGAAGAGGAAGAAGAGAGTGTTCTGGGGGATGGTGGTATAAGCCCAGCTACTGGAAAGGATGAGGCAGGAATATTTCAAGATCAGTTTGGGATGCATTGTAAGACTCTTTCTCAAAAAAGATAAAACTAGAGAGGCGGGAGAGCTGGCCTAGACCAGCCAGTGACAGGTATGCAGAGGGGCCCACAGGCGTTAGTTTGTCTGGAGATGACAAGATGAGAGTATGATTCCTCAGGGCCCCAGAGCAGTCCTGACAGCCTAGATTCCCACCTCTGGACCAGCGCTGTGAATACTGTGGGATGGAGGTGCTGAGATGTTGAGACAATGATAGGGGAGAATCACATGGATCAGTGAAGACCACAAAGCTGGCTTTAACTGTCTGGTAACCCAGGCACACAGTGGAGTGTTTTGACATCTTCTCCAGTTGCGTGCAGCTTGGACTGAGGACGTTTCGGTGTAGCTGAGAGGCATCAGAAGAGAGATGGCTGAATGTCTCTCCCACAAGCCTTCTAGAATCCGTCACTCAATGATACTCACTCTTTTACCAGGAAGACAAGTCTCTCTGCTCATCCTCACCCCACACCAGCCACACTGAGCATGCTCCCAAGGGCACCACTGTGGGTTCTGCCATAGCAACAGCAGAAGAGCTGCAGAGATGCTTGGTAGGCAGCCCACCCACCACTGAGACAGCACAGCTGGTCCACAGGCTCCTCGTGAGCTTCATTCTTCATGTCTTTCTCATATTCATCCTTATACATCCAACCCTGTGTGACAGTGAGTGATGCGTACACCTTATAGGAGGGTCCCCACCTAGCTCAGAATTAGAAGAAATATGATACACCCCCCACCCCCCACCCCATCCCCTGCCATTCTGACAGTACCTCCCTCCTACTTCTCTCTGTTTTCTTTTTTTCAGGTGGGAAGGAGAAAAGGGGGAGGGCAGGGTGTGTCACATTGTAGCTCAGGCTAGATCAGAACTTATAATGTAGTGGCCTAGGCTGACCCATAGCAATCTTCCCACCTCATTCTCCCCCTATGTTGGAATTAACAGGTCTAATCCTGTAATGGGAAAATATGACTCTGAGTTGGCAGAAGACAAATTCTTAGAAATGTGGGTGTCTTAGGGCTGGTAAGCAAAGGAAACAATTGTGGTCTTGATTTGTGTTAATACAAAATGATGCTTCTGGGAGGCAGAGGCAGGCAGATCTCTATGAGTTCAAGGCCAGCCTGGTCTACATAGTGAGCTTCAGGACAACCAGGGCTACACAGAGAAACCCTGTTTTGGAAAAAAAAAAGAAAGAAAGAAAGAAAGAAAGAAATTCCTGTAGGGCTACTGTAACAAAGTGCCAGAGACCTAGACTTAAAGAACAGACATTTATTTCCTCACAATTCTGGAGACAAGGTGTGGGAACAGGACCCGGGACACACAGATGTGAGGGTGCATGGTGAGAGGTAACAGAGTCATGTGTTGTCCTGGGAAATCTGATTCTGGAGACCAACATCAAGGTGAGATCTGAGTTTATTGCCCAGCCCAGAAGTTTATATAGTGTTTGAGCCAATTCCAAGGTATGCCTTCCCCCTCAGCCTTGAGCAGGCCTGAAAGACCTTGTTTACCACAATAGACCAAATAATAGGACCCAAGTGGAGTTACCCATCTTGGCTGCACACACAGCCTTCTACAGGAACTTAGAAGAATAACTGCCCGCTGAGCTTGTCTTGAGACATCTCCGGCAGTGGCAAAGGATGGGTTCCCCCACCCATCTCCAGCTGAAACAAGAAGGGGTTCAGTGGAGCTTTCCCTTTAAATTAAGAGCTGAACATTAAACTTCGAACCTTGATCAGAATACTTTGTCTTGGCTTCATCTTTCTCTCGCCCTCTGTCCCTTTCTTCATTTCAAACCCCCCTTTCAGGTGAACCCAGTTGTCCCGTGGCGGCAAGCGGCTACACCAAGGCTCTAAATCCTTGGCCAATCACATCTCACCACACTGTCACCATGCTCCAATGAAAGCCCTGCTTGATGAGGTAACTCAGAAGGAATGGAAGGTGGTATTGTCATCTATGAGGACTTCCATGAACATGGGGGTAGGGTGAGGTGGGGTGGGGTAGAGGGACCAGTGCTCTGGACTTGGTTCCTTTTTGCTGTCTCACCAGCATGCCAGGAGCCATATTAGATCTGAAGCTGCGTACACAGATCAGGACTCTGAGGAGTCGCAGGACCCTGAGGTACCTCGCTCTTCATCCCACTTCTTCCTTCGCAAGGTTGATTTCCTTGTCCCCCACAGTGAGACGTTAGACTGAGATGTCTTCAAGGCTGGTTTCCTCTGAGGCCTCTGTCTCTGCCTTGTAGCCAGGATCTTCCTGTGCAGATAGTCTTTCTTCTGTATGTTTCCAGATCCTAATCTCCTTTTCATATAAGACATGAACCAAAGGGCTGGTAAGATGGCTTAGTGGGTAAAGACACTGGCCATGCAAGCTAGATAGCCTGAGTTCTAGCCCTTCTATTCACATAAAGGTGACTAGAACGAACCAGCTCCAAATAGTCTTCCTCTGATGGACACTGATACACATAGATTTAAAATATATTACTGAAAATATACCAGCCATACTGGTATATGATAAGAAAGATTATTATCTTAATTGTCTTTCCTCTCCTGAGATGGAGTCTGTGTAACATGTGTTCCACCATGCACAGCTTCACTTGCCCTTTTTAAAGACTGAATCTCCAGAAATCAGAAACAAAGAAACCATAAACAAGCTGAAAACAAAGCACCTACAATGGTTATTCATCTTGTCTAGCAGAATTGGGGATCAGAGCCAACTAGTAGCCAACCACCGAGTTAAACCCAATCCCCCAAG